TCCAAGGAGCCACCCGGTTTAACCCTTTCCAGGACAAATCTGTTTGTTTTCCTAGCAGTCCATGGTATTCTCAATACTCTTCTCCAGCACCACAGCTCAAAGGCATCAATTCTCCTTCTATCCTCCTTGGTCATTGTCCAACTCTCTAATGCATAACAGGTGATTGCAAAGACCATAGCCTGTATCAGAAGCACCTTAGTCTCCAGAGAGACACCATTGCTCTTCAGTACTTTGGAGAGGTCCCTAACAGCAGACTTTCCCATGGAAATGCACCTTTTAATTTCCTGGCTGCTGGTGCCAAGGCTGTTGACTATGGAGCCAAGCAAACTAAAGCTGTGTACAATCTCAATCTCTTCACCATCCATCCTGATGCTGCCAATTGGTCCAGTGGTGAGAATCTTTGTCTTCTTGACATTGAGCCTCAATCCATATTGTAGGCTGCAGTCCTTGACACTCTGCAGCAGGCACCTCAGGTCCTCTTCAGTTTCAGCAAGCAGGGTTGTGTCATCCTCATAATGCAGATTGTTGATAAATCATCCACCATTCTTGACCCCACATTTCTCCTCATAGAGCCCAGCCTCCTGGATAATCTGTCCTGCATATAGGTTGAAAAGATATGGAGATAGGATGCATCCCTGGCATACGACCTTCCCAATTTTGAACCATGCAGTGTTCCCTTGCTCTGTTCTGACAACTGCCTCCTGGTCCAAGTATAAGTTTTGCAATAGAACGATCAAATGTTCTGGGATTCCCATTCTTCTCAGAGTCAGCCATAGTTTGTTATGATCTATACAATCAAATGTCTTTGCATAGTCAATGAAACACAGATAGACATTCCTCTGGTATTCCCTGCTTTCAGCCAAGATCCATCTAACATCAGCTACATTATCTCTAGTACCACGTCCCCTTCTAAACCCAGCCTGGACTTCTGGTAGCTCTCTGTTGATGTGCTGTTCCAGTCGTTTTTGGATAATCTTCAGTAAAATCTTGCTTGCATGTGAAATCAGTGAGATTGTTCTGTAGTTTCCACATTCTGTTGGGTCACCTTTCTTTGGGATAGGAACAAATATCGATCTCTTCCAGTCAGTTGGCCAAGTGGTCATTCTCCAGATTTCTTGGCCCAAAGGTAGAGAGGAAAATAATGGATCCCCACAGAGGAAATCTGTGCTTTTAGAGAAAAGTGCTGAAGATCCTCTGGATGGCCAAAAGAACAAACATATGTCTTGGAGAAGGTGCAGCCAGAGTGCTCTTTGGAGGCAAAGATGAAGAAGCTTCATCTCACATACTTTGGGCATGTTGTTAGGAGAGATTATTCCTCGGAGAAAGACGTCATGCTTGGAAAGGTGGAAGGTCAGCAAAAAGAGGAAAACCTCCCAGTCAGATGGATGGACACAGTGACTACAGCAATAGGCTTGACCATGTCAAAGACAGTGAGGATGGCACTGGATAGGGCAGGGTTCAGATCTGCTATTCATAGAGTCACTGTAAATTGTACTCTGAAACCTTACAACAACGTAAAGGAGATCGGGGCTTGATGGTGAGGAGGTGCACTGCCAACCTAAAGGTGCACAGTTGAAATCCTCCAGCTTCTCTGCAGAAGAAAGATGGGCAACCTCTCTGACAAGTAACTGCCTCTGAAAACCGGCTGGAGGGTCAGCTATGAGTTTGTTCAGACTCAATGGTATGTAACAATAGAGAAGAAATCAGAGTTCAGGGCTGTGCCTGGGGTTATCTTCACATTAATCTACAGAGTGAGCTGATTCTGAAGAGGAGTGATGGGGAAACAAACGTTTAAAACAATTTTAAAATTAGAGAGAAATTGAGAAAGCTATGGCCGAAGAGGGGCTTCAAAAAGTGTACCTCCCATTTGTATAAGTACTCAGTGTGGACACTCTAACCATTAAGGATAGTCGTTGCTCTCTGAATAATGTGTGATTCGATAACTTTAAGCAGTGTGGTAGTTGTGCGCTCCCCAAAGGCTGTGCCTCTGGAGATTAGAATCCAGCAATGGTTTTAAGGGAGAAAGATGGGCAGTCTCCTTCCATGTGAGTTATAGCCTCAGAAACCCAAAGGAGAGTCAGCTATGAACCAATTCCAAACCAACAGCAACGTGAGAGCTGAGTTGGAAGTGTAAGACACCCATGCTCCAGTGTGGTTTCGTGGTTCTCCAAGGTCACTGGTTTCATTGGACTCCTTTGGCCCTTAACTGGATGCTGTGGAGGAGCAGGAAGTAGATTGTCAGAAAATAGTAACCCAGATAATCAGTAACTGAGACTTTACATGGAAACCTATCCAGATGTTTGGCCATAAGAGTGAAAAGTAAAGGCTTTGGAAGTAATGCTGCTCTATATAGGTAAGAATTGTGTCAAAACATATTTTTCTTGACTAAGAAAAACACACCACCATCACCACCACCACCACTACCACCACCAAGAAGACATGTTTCAGGAGAAAGAAGCCAGAGGAAGTGAAGAGCCAGGGAGAATGGACTGGATACTTTTGTGAAGGAAGTACCTCCTACAATGGGTAGTGGAAAACAGATTTAGTGCATGGAAGAGAACTTATTTTTGCAAGAGGCAGAGAGAATCCTCTCTACAGAGTCCTCTCCAGGTTCCAGGGGACCTTTTTAAAAAAATTATTAGCTGACTCTGGGTGCATCCCTGGAGACTCTGATTTAATTAGGATGGGGCTGACAACAGAGTTTTTAAAAGCTACTCAAGTAGTATAGGGAGAGTAGTTGGCAATCAGCCACTAAGCTAGACCAGGAGATACATGTTTCCAGAGAAAGGAAACATGGAATATGTTACTTTCTATTTCTTTTCCCTTAGAGTTACACACTGTGGTTAACAAGTGAAGCATGGACAAACTTGGTTCTTGATTGGAGGGCACAAGGATAGTAAGCCTTCTTCATTCATGTATTGCTATCTAGTTATAAATAGATATATGGATACATAGATATAAATGTAAAGGCAACAGTAAACATGGATCTGAAAGGTTCAGGTGCAATTACATGTGATTCCCCGCCCTCTACCCCTGCCCTGCCCCCTCCTTGCAATTGCAGTGAGCTCAAGGGTTGCAGGTATTTCTTAAAATGTCCTGTGACGGTAGTCATTTCTGTGTTTGTCTCTCCACTAAATTCCACATCACAGTAAAAAGCAATTGCCTGCAATTTTAACTAGGGGTGGGGGAGGGTGGTGCCCCTAACTTCAGCACTGTCCACAGGTCAATTGCAAATATAAATATATATTCAAGTCTTTAAAACTATAACTGACATATCTATTTTGAAATTTTATGTATATTAACCCTCAGAATGAGGATGAGGCAGGTATTGTGGCTTAAGAGTCCACCCAGGTGAACATTCTTTAATTCTAGTAAAGGGTGGGATGAGGCCACAAAACTTACAAAAGGTGGATGCAAAGTGCTGGATTCTGGGGAACTAGTAACTAACGTAGATCAAAACAAACAAACAAGAACACCTCACTGCCATCCAGTCAATTGGCCTAGCAGTAAGGAGCTGTGCTGCCAACCCAAAGGCATATGGTTCAAATCCAACAGTTGCTCCCAGGGGGGAAAAATGTGCAATAGCCTTCCTTGAGATTTACTGCCTCTGCAAAGGTGCTGAAGGGTCAGCTGTGAGTGGGATCTGACTCCAGGGCACAATGGCCTTTTAAAATCTTTCATCCTTCCTGGGCCTTCCTTCCCCAGTAGCGTGACCATCCTCCTCCACGCCTCTCACCTAGGCACTGAGACTGTCATCAGTAATACTGAGATGCTTTTCATCTGGGCTCCAACTCGAAGCAGCCTCACCTGGACTCACAATCAGGATCTGATTACTGATGTCTTAGACCGTAACTCACGAGTCTCCTTTGCCAGATTCAAATCTGAGCTCTGCTTGACTCAGGGCGCCGTGGCCATCTTAGCTAACAGGACAGGAAACCAATGCTCACAAGGTGTTCCAGCCCCACAGTACCCAAGTGAAACCGAAGCGCCCAAATCCAGGTTATGCAAACCCACAGGCGGGGGTGAGGGGAGACACGAAATGCTCGAACCAGCAAACCTGCCAGCCTGCAAAAAAGGCGGCCTCGCTAGCGTTCCACTCTTTATTTGCCATTCTCAAGGCATGATGCAAGCTCGGTTGCCCAATTTCTATTTGCACATTTCCCCCTTGTCCACAATAAGCTTCAAAAGCTTCCAACTCTAGAAAATCACTTTAAAAGCGTTCAAGTCTCTCGTCTGAGAAAGTTGCATGACAGGCCTGGTGGCCCCACCTTTACCTGGGCAAACACAGTGAGCTGAGCACATCTGGGCTCGCTAGGTGGACGAGGAAAGCAGAAGGGACAGAAGCAGGCAGAGAAACGTCAGACACGTTTCCACCTTTCCTACACCATTCTGACACCCACTTGGTGTGCAAACCGCCAGAGGCACTGCGCATACCTCACCTATCTCGCTGCCCTGCGCCCTGAACCCTGCTCCTCTCCCCAATCCAAAGGGCACTCACTAAAGATGGCAAGGAAAACAAGAAATGCCCAGGGGCGCAGGTCTCCTCCTGTCCTTGGTGCCACTGGTCTCCTCTATCCAATCGTGGCAGCCTCTGGTCACCCCGTCGTCGGTTACACCACCCAACAAGATGGCAGGTTAGCAACAGGGGAGGCCGAGAGAGCCTGCTCCCCCTCTAGCCAAGCGCAGTCCCTGGCCAAGACACCGGGGGTCTCTGATGGCTCCCCAAGTCCAAACAGCCCCTGCCCGGAGTAGCGTCCAGTCCTCGCCCTGCTGGGCCGCCTGCCCGCTCGCTCAGGGCCATTCTGGCTGGTGACCCGGAGCAGGTGGCCGCGTAACAGGTGCCAGGAGAGAGGCCTGGGGATTGCGCGGCCGCCAGGCTCCTGCTGCGCTGGGCAGGGCGACGACCCTGGAGGGCACGGGGCAAGGCCGCGCTCGGGGCGGGAGGCAGGGGGATCCGGAGGGACAGCCTTGGGCCCCGCGCGCCCCAAGCCCCCACTTACGATCTCCAGGCAGACGAAGGCGCCCGAGTAGGTCCACAGGATGCCGGGGCCGGCGGGCAGGGTGACCC